ACAACTTCATATGCAGTTCAATCGTCTACATGCTTGTATAAGTTGCACATGAGGGGCTTAAGGGGCTTCGGTAGCCAAGTGGTTAGCGTACTTGCCTTTCACCTCTGAGGCTGCAGGTTTGAGTCTCACTAAGTACCTTCTCAGTGCGACTCGAACCGAATCCCCATGTGAAAAGAGTAAAAGTCAACGCTCTCCCGAAAGCCGTGGGTTTTCCCCGGGTACTCCGGTTTCCTCCCACAGGGAAAGTTGACAGGGTGGGTTAGGTAAAAAAGGGCCCACAGTAATTGGCATATGCTGTTGCGGTGACCCTGCCCTAGTTGGCAAAGCTAAATAAATAAATACATAGACGGCGGAAACCAAACAAAAATAAAATGGGCTGTAGCCACGAGCCAAATGGCTAAGATTCAAAATTTTGAAGTTTATGTACAAAAATTGGGAAAATTTAAAGAAAAAATCGGGAAAGATGAAAGAATACCAGGAAAATGTTAAAAATATATCAAGTCGGAAATATGCTGCCAAAAATCTACAGCAAATTAACGATGACTGCATGGTTTAAACAAAATTATATTAGACGGGCAGATTTCTTTATTTATACTGGGTTATTGTAATGTCGCAGCTATACCAAAAAGAAAATACCTGCGGTTTTCTCACCCTATACCTAGATTTTGGCCACTGAAATTACTGACCCTAAAATTTTTAACTAAATTGAAAAGAGCAATTTTCCATCTCCAGTTCGTGGCGTAAATTTTGTACTAGCTATATAAAGTATAACCGCGGTCTTTCAAAGTTGATATTATTTGGCGAATGTTCATTACGCTTGTGCAGTTGTGCTGCCCTAATTAACTTAGAATGTCGTTCTTATGCATGAACATTTACCCTACCTAACCCATGCATCCATCCTTTTTTGGCCAGACTATTTTAGTTTCCATGGGTAATTCTACTGTGCAGCATACACTGTTTATTTTAGTCAAGATATTTGAAAAATTGAAGACCTTTTATTTGTTGTTCACAATGCTTGAAGAAAACAAATTAAAAACTTTACCACAAATAAATGATTAACTAAATGGAGCCCTCTCTCTAATTATCTTGTTAAGCTAACCTCTATCCCCCTTCAAAACAAAGATGCACAGGCTGACGAACTGTATTAATTTATTAAATGGATTCGGCGTTTACCTTGGGCTGCAGAGGTTCCGCCGCCACTGGCGTTGCTGAAGTCAGAAGGGATTCTTAAACTTTGTGGTGATTGATTGGTAGGAATAACAAAATATTGCCTGGAGAAAAAAAAGTTATTAGTGACCCTCTTTCATGTAAAATTTTCCAATAAACAATTAATGAGGTCACACTAATATAGCCGCCTCAGATCTCATTATCTCGTGCTTATAAATTGAAACGATCATTAGAAAAAGTGTTGGAAATTACTGTCTTTCAGGTTATACGTAGAAAAAGATCTTGCTTGATAGCAAGAGAAACGCCAAGTATTTTGAGTTCACTCCATCCTTCGATTGATGGTATTGATGGTGGAAGTGTTTTGGTTGTTTTTCCTTTTATGGTAATTTCCCATGTCTTCTTAAAATTCAGGGGCATACGATTTTCCTCTTACCATCGCTGAATATTCGGGCCCCATTTTTGCGGGTGAGGGAGGGTGAAGCAATTAATATTCAGAAAAATGAGAGTGAGTGAGAGTGATTGTCATTCGTAACAATAAAACTGAGTGTGAAATATGATATTCTAATGGCCTCTTGTTTTGGTCACAATCCGCCAAATATATGCCATGTGTACATGTGATAAAAATAAATAAAATTCTTGTATAAATGTGAACCCAAATAATACGTAAAAGTATAAATCATGATATGTAAAGAAAGTTTTTTGGGAAATCATAACGTGCGGTGAATCAAAATGCAGCCAGATGTTTTAGAGGATGGCCACGCTGTACTAAATAAAAAACTTGTGTGGAGGCATGTAGAAATAAACTAAAGGAAAGAAAGAAATATTAATCATGTGTATGTAATTCAGATATCCCCGTACGCGGCGTTTCGTCCTTCATGGACTCGTCAGCGACTCAGCGCGTAAGTTTTGTATCGGAAAACTTAAAACTGTTATTGACCTTTTCGCTATTTCTTTGTTTCGAGAAAATAATTTCACCTCTGGCAACCACATTTATTTCGAGATTTTCGGCCTGCAAGACTGCACGCAACTGAATATCCTTTACAACATAACCTACAGGGTTACGGGGAATTCCTATACTGGATCAGTCATGAATTCCTACAAGAATCATTTTCAAAATATCAGTTAATTCATATATTAAAAATTACCTCTACATTTTCCCCCTAGTTTGTAGGAAATTTTGCTATAACAATTTTCATAGGATAAAAATATCCCAGCAGGAAACAAATTTCAGAACATGCATTCTAAGCTCCTTTTGTGTAGGTCTCAATTACACTATTCCTGGGAAATCTTAAAGGAAAATTAATTTGTACAGAAATTGCAATACGGATACGATAACACCCCCTTTATCTTCATTCGACAAAGACGCAGCAAAATGGCTGTACTTGAAAAGACATTCGAACGAAATATTTTAATTTTTGTTTTACATACTGCATGTACCCTTTAAAACTCAGATAAATATTCCAGTAAATATTGTTTAGTTGCACGGCAGGGTTACAAATTTTCGAAGATATTTCGGCAGACAATTGACATATCTGCAAGATGTCTGGGAATTGAATGTATGCAGATATTTTACAGATATTTCAGTCGTTCATGCATTTATGTTGTAGTGCTTTGACAGATATGTTACTGATACTAGCAGATATTTGCCAGTTTGGTAAGGGCAGACTTGATATTGAGCTTAATATGTCGGTTATGTCCTCGTTCATTAATTACTTCGGTATATAATTAAAAGTCATGCACCCTGATCGGTTGCCCAGCCTTTGCTCGTAAACGTGACTATAAAACAACCAGGTTCGTCTCATTTGAACTGAAAATTCAATTTTTGTCGTGTCAGGTTCCGATCCTTACTGATTGATATCAAACTTTTTTCGATTGCGCTTCTTGCGGTCATATACTATACTATATAATTGTTATATTATAAAATCCTTGGATATAACGATTGAGATCATTAGCGCTAGAAATTTTACACAGTTCCACATTAACATGTCAAACTACATTATCCTTCTTTGAGCAACTCTCAAACAACTTTTTGAGATTTACCATGAGTCGGAAGAGAGGCAGCTTTATAGCCACAAGATTTTACAGGAAATTTATCACAAAGGGAATGCAAATTTTGTACAGAGGGAAAGGTAGACTTAACAAAGTTATATACAATGTTACCGTAATTCAATTAAGGTTTTCCTTTTAAAGTCAAACCTCGTAACTGCAAATCTCAACCTCTAAGCGCGAAAAGCACGATGGACATGCATACATGCAGTATGTAATTCATATAGTTTCGACGCTCCGTAGTTACGATTGCTGCGTCCTCGAGCCGTTTTGTTTTAGCGTAAAAAGCGATTTTAATTATAATTCACGAATTTCCGTGATCTTCATCTATTTCGAATTTTATTTGATTGCCTTTAGCCCAATTCAATAGCAAACCAGCCAAGCTTCATTGGATTATATATTTAAAAAAAGAAATGTTGTTTCTGGAACATGCTCAAACCGTTGGGAATTAAATTTACTTGATTAACATAAATACCAGACATGTACTTAATTAGCAAAACACGACAATTATCGTCTTAACATGCAGGCACAGCCAATGTCATAATAACAATCATGCTCATTGTGCTTTTCACGCTTAGAGATCGACGTTTTGCGGTTGTTGGAGTTTTTAAATGGCCGGTCAATGTTACTTTTTTTCAACCATTGGAAACTGAGTGCAAATCTATTATTGCTTCGGTATTGAAATAACTCTTATTTCGGATTCAAATATTAAAATTTGAATACAGACCGCCAACATATTGCTTAACTTTATTGAGTCTAGGTAAATTTAAAGTCATAAAGATATTTCGAGTACAGATTTAACAATCAAATTTAGTAGTTGAAAAATGCATATGGAAGTTTGTAGAGAATTCTCTATGCAAACTCATTTGCGCAGTTACAAGTCGAAGAACATTTTTTGTGCAAATATTGAGAATTGTGATTTTCGCAGGCAACAGTCCACATACCATGATGAGTAATTAAGATTCAAGAAGATGCTATATTTGCACTGATGTAGATTTACTCTTACGAATCGAAAGCTTTCGAAATCGATAAACGTGGTGTTTGGCAAAAAAACCCAATTATATTGGCCATAGGACGAACCGACAAAAGATTAACTGCATGTGCATAGATACGATTTCGGTAATTAACCGGAAGTATTACTTGAGGTGATAAACCTTCTTTGTTGAACAAAGTCAAGTTTAATTACCATATATTCGTTTCGTGTTTTCGTGGGCACTGAAATGCGAAAGTACAAAGGTAAGAAACTCGTGATTTAAGCTTTCGCCTTTGCTGCACTAGTTTTCAAAATCAACAGCAGAATGTCGTGGCTACTTCATTGTTGGCTACTCTCATGTGGTTTAACATTATTAGTGTTTAAAGGTAGGTACATCAGTGGTAGTATTAGGAAACTCGAAGGCTATTTTACCTTAGTAATAGTAATTCTCTTGCTGTACCTCACAAATCTCCAAATCGGCAATCTTCGAAAATATCCCGGAATCTTGCCAAATTTTGCAAAATCCTAATAAACCACTAAATCCGGAAACTGAAGTCAAGTAGAAATATGAAAATCTGTTTCAAAATTTGCGAAATTCCTTTCAGGACCTCAAACGCCTTCTAAATTTCAAAAATCGGGCAAAAATGTCCAATAAAAGTCTACTTAAAATTTCGAAAAAATCCCAAATATTGTACGTACGCCCCTTTTGCAGTAAGACATCCTTGACGAATATGTGTATCATTGATTTATGAGGCAATTTTTTCTACGCAAAGCTGTCGGGCCGATCTCTCGTAAATCTTCTTAGCGTGCCTCTCATATAGCCTCCTCCGCAGGCAACTCTTTGGCAAAAATTGGCAAAAGTATTATGAATAACAGCGAATTTAAAGTTAGGGACTGTTAGGGATCACTAGCAATTTTGTATTCATAATACTTTTGCCAATTTTTGCCAAAGAGTTGCCTGCGGAGGAGGCTATCCCTCATATTGCACAGATCACACAGAAGCTTTTTGTAAGAACGCGCTGTTAATTATAAAGGCATATTGTGACGGTACTTCGAATTTAATGTGTTTTTAAATACAGTTTGTGGACGATACAAACAGAACAAATAGATGACGTGCTCCAGGCAAAGAACATTTTATAAACATTCATAATCTTGATAACTATAGCAATGTAAAAATACTCAGTGGCGGAAATTCACTTCACTCAAATTTCCGATAACCCCCCTTCCATTTGCACTCAAAAAGACTGTTTTTATAGCCCTGTTTTAGGGCAAAATTTCTGAAAATTCTTCAATTTTCCGTAAAGGTTGGGGGGGGGGGGCGGTCGCCCCCTCGCCCCATAGAGATTTCCGCCACTGAAAATACTTCTGTGAATTTACTATGATGAATACTTTACAAGAATAGAGCAAACAGAACGCTGTTTATATATGTATAATGTAAAAGTAAGCTCGATCTCAAATTTTGTATATCGTCAGATAAGGAATCCTTGCTATACTATTTTTAATTCATTAGGCGACCCTTTGGGAAACTTCATAACCATAGACTTCAACGTTTCTAGAAATGTATATAAAAAGTTTTGTTTTAATGTACCGCTGTACGTAGTCCTGCATTTTTAGATATTTGTTAGATATTTCAGTGATAAGAAGGTGGAACGCTACACTAGTCTGCTGCCGTGCATTTTGTTCAGCCAGATTTAATTTCATTTGATCTATATAAAGCATGAAAGCTTGCCAACGAACAGGTAAATTTTAACCGTCACTATTGAAAAATGAAATCGTGTATATTTTTACGATATTGTTTTAAATTGAAACACCCTGCATAGCCATAATTAAGTATAAACACGACCTCTCGAAGACCTAATTTTTCTGCCTGATGTGTATTGTGTTCGTCATACTGTTGATGTAGGTGTGACACTATATTGAACCGTACAGTAACTTCAAAGACATTTCATGTTGGACTGTTTCACTGTTAATTTGTAATCTATTGAACTTCCCAAATCAATTGTTTAGTCATTATTTTTCGCTTGCTATCGTTCTGAAAGTTATAAGCACATCAAGTTAGTTGTTTCATGTGGTCCGTTTAGAAAGCGCTCAGCCGCTTACAATTCATAGTATATCCTGCTGTCTACAGAGACGTCGCTACCATTGTGTGTGCGTGTGCGTGTGTATGTGTGTGTGTGTGTGTGTGTGTGTGTGTGTGTGTGTGTGTGTGTGTGGGGGGGGGGGGGGGG